CACACAGACAGAATATTGTATACATAATAAATAAATAAATAAATTTTAAAAAAAAGATAAAAATGAAAAAAAGTATCAAGTGGGAGAAAGAATTAAAACTTTTTATTGCCTCGTAATAGAGATCTAAATAAATTATTCTCTGCATCATTTTCACTGAAAGCTACTGTGTGGTATTTTTAAATAAAAAGTGTGGAAATAAATCAAGGAAGAATAATATACGGTATTCCAGAACCTTGTAACTAAACAGAAGGGCAAAGAGAACTCTAGAATGACAATTTAGAACAGTCTAGCAGCCCTAGAGGGAAGCTGTCCAGGGCAGAGAGGTAGCAGTCTGACTTTGGGGAAGAGGCTTCCATGAATTTCCAAGTAAAAACAAAGCTGCTGGGCAGCCTGCCTTAGTGTACAATGCCCTTCAGAGGGGCTTGCTATCTCCAAGGGCTTATCAATTAGGAAAAGCTGTCAAATGAGGTTGGTGGAAGGCAGTTACAAATGGCTCTATAAGAAAGTGAAAATGGCTCAGCACATGGCATTAGGAAGGTCCCAATGGTGCCAATCACTGCTGAGCCAGTAAAATATAAGGCCGTGAGGAGTGGTGCACTTTTTAATCCCAGCATGCCTTCAATCCCAGCACTCGGGAGGCAGAGGGAAGAAGGACCTGGATTTCAGAATTCAAGGCCAGCCTAGTCTAAGCAGAGAGTTCCGGAACAGCCAAGGCTACATATTGAGACCTTTTCTCAAAAAACTAAAAGAGGTTTAGTTTTAGAAAACAAAACAAAAAGTCTATACAGCTGCAATATAATAGAATTTCCTTCCCTAAATTGTAATTTAAAGAAGCTAGTCACTTTTTATTCCTTGATCCAGCTTAGGGTTAGCAAGTGTTTTGAGGGGTTGAATGTCTGCTTTATAAGGCTCTTCACCCCTTTCTCCCCACACCTTCCCCTGCTATCTGTAGAGTTAAAAGCCCTTCAGCTAGTGTTTGTGTTGTGGATTGTAGGAACATAAGGACGTGTCTGGAAGTGCAGTACCTCACTTTCGCTTATATTCAAATAGTAAGAATGAATTACACGGTTATACCTACAGGCAATATTCAGAATTTTTAACAACCAACTGGTAGCCAGGCCACTGACAAGTCGGAACAGGGACCTGCTGTAGGATAAAGGCAAGCTGTGAAGGCTGTCCCTGCTGCAGCACGTGTTAACCCTTTGTTTGCTGAATTGTGCGGACCGGTGGGCTGGAGGTCAAAGCCCCAGCTACCATCAGCTGTTCTGGAAGTATGGGAATGACAATTGGTGCAGCTTTTTCAAGATACATGAATCAAATGCTGACCCTGGCTGCACCTGACTCCAGAAAAGACTGACTATTACAGATGATCAGGAGGGGACAAGCTAGCATATACCAAATTTATATTAGTAAAGGTCTAGAATTAGTATATCAATAAATTTTGTTTATTTACATATTGTTAGAAATATAAAATGAATTATCAGAAGAAACTTAAAAAGTTTATATTGAGTTTGCCTTTGGGATTGAGTGAGAAGTTAGGATACTGCTATTTTTTTTTTATTTTAAACTCGATAGCACACTTTGAATTTCCGTGGGCTAGTATAGTAAAAACTAAAATCAGTAAGAAAAAAGGTAATGAAGTGATCAAAAGGGATTGGAGATTGACCTGGATCCAAAGCTCTAGAAATGTGTATGTTCAAAGATAAGACATACATTTGCTTTGAAGTACAATCCTCTGCCCCAGCACTGATTCCGGCACGGCTCATTCCGTCTCAGCACCGTTTTGGATGAGCTTTTACACACTTCAGATGCTTCCTAGCCCCGCACTCTTGAGTGTTTGGTTTGGGCGGACCTCGAGGAGCTCCCAGCTTCTCCTTTGCTGTAAGACTAGCTTCTCTACCCAAGGGGTATTTAGACCTCACTGTTTTCCGGAACATCGTACTCGCTCAGCCTGTTCGCATTTTGAATTTGTTCATGGTCATTTTTGCAAAAGCTGCTTACCTTTATCTCAGATTCTCTGTGGAGAAATTTTAGGGCTCAGATTAAGTAAATCTGAACATACTGTGATTGTCTCGTGTCTTTACCTTCCTCTGCTGCACCCTCAAGTTGCCCCCCCAGCTTCGTCTCCATGGTCATGTCTGATATCTCCCAGCTAAGGTCTGCCAGGAACTCAACCAAGAAGAGCAATTCTCGGCTGTAGTTGGCATCACCAGAAGTTTGCCTAGCTAATTAGTTTCACCAAAGGAATTCTAAGAAAGATGAAAATATTCAAGAAAGGGTCGTTAAGAGCTATGGTTTTCCAAGGTTGGAGAGCTTGCTGCATTGGACAGTTGACTAAAGAAATTGTGGGAAAAGCCAGGCGGTGGTGGTGCACGCCTTTGATCCCAGCCCTTGGGCAGTAGAGGCAGGCGGATCACTGAGTTGGAGGCCAGCCTGGTCTACAGAGCGAGTTCCAGGACAGGCTCCAAAGCTACAGAGAAACCCTGTCTCGAAAAACAAAAAACAAAAAAATAAAAAATAAATTTATTTTATTTTATTGGTGTTTTACCTGTATGTATGTCTGTGTGAGAGTGTTGGATCCTGGGGTTGCAGAAAGTTGTGAGCTGCCATGTAGGGCCTGGGATTTGAACCCAGATCCCCTGGAAGAGCAGTCAGTGCCCTTAACCACTGAGCTGTCTCTCCAGCCCCAGAGGAAACTTTTAATGGCAAATTGCAAACAAAAGTTTTCTCCCTCCATGCTTCTTTTCCCTACCGCGAAGGGTGTCAGATGTGTAAGGGACCTGCCAGGCCCAGGTCTGGCTTCTGATACGGTGTCCATACTCAGAGAAAGTCCAGGCTGGTTGCTGAGATTGCCTTACACTTGTACGTACTTAATACGAGTGTGCCAGTGAAGGCTTTAAGGCAGTGGTTCTCCGCCTTCCTAACGCTGCGACCCTTTTAGTCATTTCTCATGGTGTGGTGACCTCAACCATAAAATTATTTTCATTGCTACTTCACTTAATTTTGCTACTGTTATAAATCATAATGTGAATACCTATTTTCCAATGGTCTTAGGTAACCCCCTGTGAAAGGGTCGTTCAACCCACAGGTTGAGAAACACTGCTTTAAGGTGAGAGACTGGCCCTCATACAAGGTTCAGAGTTTGTCCACTTGATACAAGACATGTCTGGGCCAGTGCTTTGCACAGTTGATTGTACACCCCAGTTGCTGGAATGTCATAACATTCTCAAGGGGATTCAGAGTCTATTCCAGGGCCTGCCTACACTTTTGGGGGGTCAGACTACAGTAGAATCAGGGTCTGGTGAGGGTCTGATTCTCGTGGTTGCTCATGGTCACTTTAGAATCATCTGAGGGTCCTTAAAATGACTGGTATCCGATACCTGTCTGTAATGACTGTGATTGAATTGGTCCTGAAGTGTGTACTGATAGATATGAGTCACCTACAGCTGCCTCTGATTTCACACCCACGTGCTAGTAGGACTAAGAGCCCAAGGTGTGGGATCGGCACACCTTTTCTCTGACTCGTGGCTAAAATTCTTTCTGTGTGGATTAACCCGGGAGGCACCTTAGGTAACATTCTAAATACAGTTACTTTGTGGATGTTGTCAACAAAGAAGAGATTCTTCCCAGTCGGAAGGTCCCTGGAGATGAGCTGAGTGCTGTCAGAAGAACACACCCAGGAAGAAAAATGGTCCTTCTTTAAAGTACCCAGACAATGTCCCGTGCCACAGGAAGGAGGTGAAGAGAGACTATGAATGGGTTCTCTCATCTCAGGAGACCCTTTTTCCTCTGTGTCTTTGCACTGAGAGACCAGGCAGACAGTGCACTGGGGTTCTTTAGAAACAGCTATTTCTTTATTCCTTACTGTGTGTTCATGTGTGCACTGGCGAAATTTCCACACTGCTAGAATTCTGGCATTTACGTGTTTCCTTTGCCAATTGTTTAAGAAGCTTTAGAATATTTTCTGTACACTTACTTGCTCCTCTGCCCAAATTTAGTGACTCAAGATGCTGGTAGTACTGCTGCCACTCTCAGGAGCTTCCAGTGCTGCTGACAGAGTGACTTGCTCAAAACCATAGGCCTGGGTTCAGCTGTTTGATTTCTGTTGCAAAAACAATCTTAGAAAAAGAGGAAGTAACTATATTAACATTGTATTAATGACGACTTCTTAAAGAAAGTACACTTCAGCGTTCATGGGTTAACATTGAAAATAATCGTGTTGTTCATAAGTTGGAATTCTTGAGGCCAGCGATGTGGCTCAGCGTGTGAATGTGCGTGCGTACCTCGAGTACGGTGACCAAAGTTTGATTCCCAGAACCCACGGGAGAGAAGGATCAACTCCCTCCCTCATGGTGTCTTCTGAACTCAGCACTTGTGTGTCGTGGTACATGCAAGGCATTCTGCCAGCTCCTGACTAAACCCTTCTGTTCCTGGTGCTCGGACCACCCTGTGAAACACTTTGTCTTTGCTGCCAAAATTCTTTTTTATTATTATTCTATCATATTGTATCCCAACACAGAAGTTTCCCCATCTTCTCCTCCCCCCAATCTCTCTGCTCCCACGTCATCTCTCCCTAGATCTACCCTCCCTCTGTCTCCCCTCTGAAAGAGCAGGCTTCCCAGGGACATCAGCCAAACATGGCATAATACGCGACTATGAGACCAGGCACATACTGTAACGTCAGGGCTGGACAAGGCAACCCAGTAGGAGGAAAAGGGTCCCGTAAGTAGGCAAAAAAAAAAAAAAAAAAAAAAAAAAAAAAAAAAAAAAATTATTTTGGTCAGTTTTAATTCTTGTAATCTTTAAGGAGGAAAGGATCAATAAGCACAATAATCAGAGCTAGTCAACAAAAGGAAGATAAACAGCAGTCAGCATACCGAAGACGGTGCCTGGGAAATATTTAACAAGCTTGTGACTTCATACTTTCAAAAATTAAGACAGCGAAGTTATTTTTCGATCAAGCAAAACATCCGACTGTAAGTTCCTGAAGACAGCTGGAAAGAAATAGGGGACACTTCACAAACTGGCCTGCCGTCCTTGCGCGGGGTCCACGCTAATCTTCTCTCTGTCTTTCCAGTTTTAGTTAGGTGCTGCTGAAGCGAGCTCAGTAGTTCTTTCTTGCAGACTGCTGTTGACAGTTTTCTCCTCTTCCCTTTGCCCCATACTTGGTCCTCTCCCTCCATCCCTCCCCGCTATTGGTGCATTGACTGCACCACAGCTAGGACCCCCCCACACACACTTTTCTCCACTGTGTTGTACATTCAGCAGTAGTTAAGTTGTGAACAACACACAGTTAGCATGTGTAATAAATGTTAGGCAAATGAATGAAAGATTTCCCTGTAAAGTATTGAGAATCTGCACGTGTCTGGTTGGGGTTCAAGATCAATTCCACTTAGAAATATTTAGCTAAAAGTTACATTGATTTGATTTTCATTATGTTTTTCACTACAAAATATAAGCTCATAACGTTCTTTCCAAATAGTCACCAAAATTTTTATTATGTCTTCCCCTACCAAATATAAGTTCATAACATGTTCTTTCCAAATATTCACAGATACATACCTATGCATAAATGTAGATATACCTATATACGAAAGTGGGGGAAGTAAAAACCATCAAAGATTATTCATAAATATTAAGTATCTGAGGTTTAAAAAAAATCTTTAAATAAACTAGAAAAATGCCAGGCAGCAGTGGTGCACACCTTTAATCCCAGCACTCAGGAGTCAGAGGCAGGCAGATCTCTAAGGTTGAGGCCAGCCTGGTCTCCGGAGTGAGTTTCGGGACAGTCATGGCTACACAGAGAAACCCAGTCTCAGAAAAAAAAAAATAAACAAAACAAGAAATCTTCATTGAGGTCTGCACGATGCGCATGGCTTATCTGCTTTCTTTCATGAAGCCAGATTGGTTGAAAGCAAACAGGCTAAAGCCCTAGACTCAACAGAGCCAGTATGGAACATGCCTGTATTCAAGTTATATTGCAATTCTATCTATAAAAAATACTTGGAGAGTTCTTTGTCAATCATGTGAAAAGCATGGAAATTTTAACCACCGAAACAGTTTTATATAGTTTTCAAATGGGAGCCAGACAGAAACGGACATCTGCCATTTTTTCTGCAGTGTCGTCCTAGCTTCTTCAGGCTGCTATAAGAGAATGTCAGAAACGAGGGGGCTTAACAAACAGCAGAAGTCCATTCTCCACAGTTCAGGGAGGGGGAGCCGAAGATCAAGACACGGGCAGATTGACATGCGGTGAGGGTGGGGCTCTGGTTCTAGCGTGTGCTGTCTTGGCTGTGCCCTTGCATGGCAGGATGGGACTAGTCTGTGGACTCTCTTTGGTAAAGGCGTGGATCCCAGCTGTGTTCTCATGGTGTGAAGCCCTCAGAAGGCCTCACCTTAACAGGGTCACCTTGGAGGTTAGGGCTCCATCGTACGGATTTTAGGGGTGCTGACACTGAGGTCATAAAGTGTAATGACTCCTCATCAGTCCTGTTGAGTGAGGAGCCTTAGGGTGGCTTCCTCCTTAAGCTTTAGTTTCTCCATGTATAAGATAGGGGATTTGGTTCAAATTACTACCATGGTCATTTTGACTCAAGTATGAGTCTGGAAAGTTAGGAAACACAGCCCGTTACCATGGTGAGGTCAGATGATTGGTGGATCCAAAAATACATTATTTTCTCCTTCTCCCTAACAGCAATGCTTTCCCATTGAGTAAGTCACTCTGTGTATATTCCATTAATAAACCAATCTCTTGATTTTTTTTTAAAAGAAAATACCAGCTGCTCAATAGTGAATGGAAGAGCATTGAGAAATACCAAACAAATGAGCTCTTGCCTCTGTGTTAAATATAGATCTGCATTATTGCAATGTTTTTCTTTCCTGTTGTAGGTATTCAGAAGGCACTGGGTGATGATTTGATATATTTGGAAACTATTTCCCATCAACTTCTGCTGCCTTTGTGTTTCTGTGAGAATCTCATTAAAAATATATATGATTTATTCTCTTAAAATATGATTTCCTTTATTTTGGCCTTTCTACAGGCAGCAAGTTTGTGTCTATAAATACAGATTTTTGTCAGGATCCTTGCATTGATGTTCATTTTTCTCCATTAGCATCTAGGTAATCTACTTAGGCAATACCGCATTTGACCCTCTTGGTTTGCTGAAGTGTGGTCTCATCAGTTTGTCCTGGCACACTGATGCCCTCCAAGAGCCACTGTGAAGCTGCAAGGCTCGTGGCCAGGCTCCTTGGGGACTGTCCCCTGTCAAGAACGCTGTTCCTGAAATGAGGCATCCTGACCTAGTTGGGACAAGCACCAGACGGACAGGCAGTCTCACTGTTTGCTAACATACACTCCAGACAGACTCAGCTTTCTGAAGCAGAGATTCAGACCATTAAATGAACATTGCCCAAGGAGACAGCAGAAAGCCAGGTGTGGTGGTGCCCCTCCCATCACTTGGGAGGTGGAGACAGGAGGGTCCAGAGTTCCAGACCAGCCTTAGAGCCAGCCTGGACTGCATGAGACCCGGGGATAAACCAAAACCACAAAACTAATAACTATGATAAAACAAGGAATGGAGATTTGGTTGGTTTTCACTGCTTTATTCTACAGTAGTCTTTTATTGCTGACCAGCTGTGTGAGATGAGAGGGATGCTCTCTTCTGAGCTTCGGTTTATAGGACAGTGGTTCTATAAAGTTTGGGTCTTATTTCTAAAATGCATTTGGTTCTAGAACCCACTTATGGTCACCTCATGTCTGTTGCCTCTACTTTCTCCTCTTTCTTTCCATTCTTTCTAGCTTCATTTAAGCTTGCTGGGGACAAGCTGTGCTTTAAATCTAAGCAGCTTTCCCTTTTTTCTCATGGTTCTTCCTTAAATCAGTGTGGTTCAACTTTTCAGTTTGTAGAGATTTTTAGAAAACATTTATTATGACTGATTTAGTCCATTTATTTTCTAGACATGTTGAGATGAGGTTAACTCAACAACTCGATTTGTTTTGCTTCTATGCTTGGATAATGGTCTGAAAAGAAACCATTATATTTCTTATTGTTATAGAAATTGTAATTAGACACATTTCCCTCATCAGGCATTTCTGTATATCTCTATCAGCGAGAATCAAGCTGATTTGATGCTGTGGACAGCAGTCACAGGATATATCTAGAGAAAAAGTGTTTGTCGTTTACCCATCGTCCCTGCCATCAGCGCAGAATCTGTTCTACTTAGTACGTCCACGCTGTTAAAAGCAAAAGGAAGGCTGGCAACCACGAAGTCCTGCAGAAGTGAGTTAGAAAATAGTCTCCTATAGGGTCACTCCCTCCTTGCAGAAATGCCTGTCGAGCTGTCTGCTAGGTTGTCTTTGGCATGTTGTCATGCAGAACAGACGTTCTTGCTGTACAGAGTTGATTTCTCTGCTATCAGAAAGCAAGGTAGTAAAAGCTGTGGGACTACGAAAACCGGAGCAGAAAAGGAGGGTTCCAGGGGAAATGAGAAGCGGAGAACTTGGCTGTAGTGTAAGTACCTATGAATGGGTTAAATGTCCAGGCTAAACAGACTTTCTGGGTGCAGTCACAGTTAAATATCTTAAAACAGGAGATGTCCCTAAGAGTAGAAGAAAAAACCCACACTGGTTAGTGTATGGAAGTGTTGAGATGTTGGTGAGATTTGATTCCAAATCAGCATAAGGGGACATGGGGAAGCGTACAGAGGACAGGGAACAGCCTCTTTCCCACTCGCTGCCCCCAGGGGCCTAGCAGAGACCAAATCCAGCCAAAAACCAGAAGCAACCAGAAGAAGATGCTTTTGGTGGGCTTCAAAACGGTTCCATTTGAGATTTGAAGCCAAAGGCTCAGCTGATGCTGCACCCAGGCCTGGGACCTACAGGACTGACATAGTAGGTGGTATTGTCTGAGCCTCCTCTTTCTGTGGTGATTTGACATATCAGTAATGGAACACCCACAGAGTCAGAGAGCTGGCAAAGAGAAAACAAGAACAGAGTTCTAAGGTGGTATACCTGGGGGACAGAGGGGCTGCAAGGTGGCCACTGTGGCTGGAATGCAGAAAATACGGGGCCGAGTAGGAAATGAGGTCAGAAAGAAAAAGGGAAGTTAGTGGGGGGGGGCGGAGACCATGAAGGGTTCTGGCTCTTATTCCAGGGGAGCTGTGGGGACATTGCGTGTTTTCATTGCAGAAGCAATGGGCTTGTTTAGCTTTAAAAACAATCTTACTTGGCTGCCCTGAAAAATAGACTCCAGGAGAGAAGCAGGAAGACCAATTAGTAATGACGGCAGGCCTCCCAGGGCAAGGTGGTGGGAAGGGGTCCGGAGTCTAGGTATATTTTAAAGATAGTCCCTTTTCTTTGTGACTTGGATGTGATATATGCACATGGGAGAGAAGCCAAAGATGCCCCTACATGAAGTAGAAGATGGAGTTGCTCTCTGCTCGGATGCAGGCTGAGTGTTGAAGAGTGGAGGTCAGTTGGGACCTACCGAGTCAGAGTTGTGTGTTGGCGGCCCAGCAAGCATGGATGCAAGTGTGGTAGGCAGAACAGCGGCCCGCACGTAGTTCCCATTCTAGTCTCCATAACCTGTGGTAGGCAGAACAGCGGCCCGCACGTAGTTCCCATTCTAGTCTCCATAACCTGTGGAGGTGTCACTTTACCCTCGAGGTGGCAGGTTATCTGGGTCGCCTTTAAAAGCTGAGAACTTTCGCACGGTGGTCAGGAGCTGAGGCAGCTGTGGACGAATGACCGGAAGCACTGTCGCTGACAGAAGATGGAGGAAGGAAGGCATGGGCCTGCCAGTGTGTGTGACCTCTAGCAAGGAGGCATGGCACGGAAGCCCGTTCTCCCCTACATCCTCCAGACCGCCCGACACCTGACCATAAAGCTATAAAATGATAAAATTTAACTTGGGTAATTCACTACAGTAGCCAAAGAAATCCCCCAGAGTAAACAGTGCGACTCTGTAGGAAGAGAGAGTTAGGGGTTTGAAGGCACAGAGGTAGCAGTGGGATCTCCGAGACAGGCTGGAGACAGGAGGCAGATGGAGAAGCATTCCTTATCTGTTCCACTGCTCTGATTAGTCTTATCTAGGCACCTGCTGGCCAG